CGTAGCATGTGAAATGTGTTGGGTAGTAGGGGTGGATCAGAAAATCCGTAAACTGAATTGAAATCATTTTTACCTAAAGAGTAAACATTAGTTATGAATTCTGATACTCGATGCATGGCAAAGCAGTATTGCACATATGCACATGTTTGTAGAATTTATTTTAATTATACAGAACAATAACTATACCCCCTAGTCCAATATAATCACAGTGCAGACCAAATTCAAAGCGTTAAGTATATTGCAATCAATCACATTTCACATTTTACACAGAACCAACTGCTCAAGAAAAGAAAGAAAGATAGAAAAAAGGGTCCAAAATTATTCAAAGCAAGTTGAGAATTAAGCTAAAGATAGACTTATATTCACAAAGGGCACTATAGAGAATACAGCTACAAACACCTATGGATGAGAGGTGATATACAGGTACAAAGCTGTGAGAGAGATGTTCCTATTCACACATATATGAATCTGACAAAATTTGAAATATCTATGTTACCCCTCTTCTCACACAGAACATTGTTCTTATGCAGAAACTCAGGACTGCTATGCTTGAAGCACCTGGCAGTGCACAATATGGCTCTTCACCCCTGCAATGCTTGACCACAAGTTAGTGAAAAGGTTTTTGATGTGGCCTTTTCCGGCGATGTTCTCCCAAAGCCGGGGGTTCTCCTCCACTCTCGTAGTGGGACTCGAAACATCCACAAGGCTTATGCTCATGTTGTTCCGAATTATACAGAGCTTGCCGTTAAGTGGGACCAGTGCAGCGGCTTCTAGTGCGCGAGAGCTCCCAAGATGAACTTTGCTGTCAATAAATCTGTTCCAACGATTTTCAGACTCGTTGTACACTTTGAGCTTGCAACCGTCCGGGCAGTCTGATGCATACAGTCTCCCATTCATACAGATGCTCGGGTTTCTCCAGCCCGTAACCATCTCATCATTGACCGGACCCCACGAATTCGTCTGCAAGTCATAAGCTTCACACTGGACCTCTCTATGGGAGCCCAATCCTTTCAAGAACCACTTCCCATCATAAACGACGCCTATAAAGGGGACCATGGCTGTGCTCATATCAGCAATGAAGCTCCATCGGTTCCTGTTTGGATCATATACCTCTGCCGAACAGAGAGTTCTTCGTAGCCCTTCGCATTCCCCACCAGCAACATAAAGGCAGTTATTGATCACACAAGACCCAAAGAAGTGTCTCTTGCGCAGCATGTCTGGGGCCCTGTGCCATTTATTTGTTCTAGCACTGTAAAAGACAACCCGCCTCACGGATCCCTTATTTGGATCTTTTCCTCCAAACAAGTACAGGTGGCAACCACTGAGGACAGCACAGCCGAATCCAAGGGCCTCGCTGTACTCACCTGGAACAGGGGGAAGCGGCTGCCAGAGTTGGTAGGTTGGATCAAATGCATGCCATGAAGTGTGTCCATCACGGTCTCTTTTAATGACATAGACCCACTCTTCTGCCATTCCAAGACTTTTCCTCAGAGAGTAAAAAAAGTTTCCAGCTAGAAGTCGGTACCATCTTTTGCATACGAGACGGAGCTTGTTATGTTCGGCACGGGGAACACGTATCAAACAAGCAATTGCAAGATCATCTGGAAGGCCGGGAAGAAGAGGTGGTTGCACTCTCAACCTCTCCCTGCGAGAGCTTTTTCTCCTGTGTGCACGAGGATTGATGTCAGGCTGGATACAAAGTTTTGAACCAGGTACGAATTTACTCACACCAGCAACAGTTCTCAAGCCTGAATCGACCTTGCAATAACAGGAGAATGAATCAACCTGAAAATAAGATCCACTTTAGCATCACCCCCAATTCTTTCTTATCAAATAATACAACATCGAGGTTCTTTTGACAGCAGTTTTTGGTGTCGTCATATTGTGTCAATGGGCCCTACGGTGCTCCGTTGGGCCCCCAAATGGTTTGTTGGCATATTAGAGGAAATATGATCAATTTCATCATTTTTTCCATTCTGATAGTAAATCCAACTACCTAAGTATCACGTTTTAAGTATCAGAAATCCGGGCATTTCATAATCTAATTAATAAAACAACAATCCAAGATCACACATCTGTGTATATTTCTTCTTCTCTACCAAAGAGCTCTGAGTAGTCAACAACAACCTAGTATAATCCCACGAAAGTAGGGTCTTGGGAGTGTGTTTGCACACTTACCCCTACTTAAAAGTAAAAAGGCTGGAGACCCCCAACTCGAGCAACACTATAAACGTATAGCACGATAAAGAGCACATAGCAAATTAAGAGTTTGGAAAATGAAAAGAGACAAAAAGCACACAAACGTTGCAAGCAAAAAGACCCCAAGCCTAGAAAACATACAACGACGAACAAAGAATACCACATAGGCCCAAACTACTAACCAACTACCCTAGTTTTAGATCTCCGGAAGCTCCAACTTAGGGCCATATCCTCGGTGAGGACCAGAAATCCTAGATTTTGTCTAATCACCTCCTTCCAGTTCTTCTTAGCTCTACCCCCTCCATTACCCCACCCTCTAATGAGAGCCTCTCGCATCTTCGCACTAGACCTCCATGCAACGTCACTGCACCTGCTCAAACCATCTCAACCTAGCCCATACCGCTATCTGAATCTAATCCAACCTTGTCTGCCCACACTTCCACCATAGCATCTGCATCTTTGACGCTAGTTGACGAACATGGGCTTTCTTAACATCCCAACACTCCGATCCATAGCTCAAGTAGTCAGTAGTGTACATATGAGAATTGATACACACAGAAAGATTAACTTCAGTGTTGAAGCAGGGCTCAACCTTCAATGTCTTATTTCTCTTCAAATTATAATGAATTTTACCAACATTAAGTTAATGACACTAATTTTTTTTATATTTCAAATAGGCCCAACTATATGTTGTAAGGTAACAAGGTTGGTAATATTCTTGAGTTTTACAAGTGTTTGGTTTTAAACAAATCATCAAAGATCAAACTCAAACTCACTTATTGTCCACTGGGCGTGGGAGAAATTTACTTAGATGTATTCAAATAACGAGCATTTAAATCTCTCGTTAGTTTGGTTGTCTAAATACTCGACACATACTCAATGCGTGACACTAATTACCTACAAAGGATGTAACCTACTCCGTATATGAGAGTGGATTCTAAGGACTCTCTACAACTCTCAAAACAGATATATAACACAAATAAAGTTACATTTTAAAAAAAATTGCATACGAAAAAAAAGTACTCTTTCATCCCTATTTAATCTACCCTAATTGCATTCCTCCATAGTTTAAGAGTATAAATTAGTGTGGTTAAAGTTTATTTGGAAAAAATAGAATCAATATTGAGGTGCATACAAATCTTATGAAATGCATTACCTATTTTCCATCTTAAGCTCACTCCAGCTGTTTATTGCTTCCACCACTTGAGCAAATAATAAAGCACTTTTAACCATAGCTGCTCAAACAAGGATATATTATGAAAATATACGTAAAAAAGAATGGGAGAAGAAGAAAGGGACGAATGGTGGTCCACCGCGTATCCGATGGGAGAGCCTGGGTCAAGAGAAAATCCATGAGTTGGTTGTGAGAGTTCAAGAGAAAGGTGAGTGGGATTCTTTCAGAGAGGCGAACAACACGTGGTCAAAGTTAGCAAACTACATCAGGGAAGCTACCCGGGAAGTGCTAGGTGTGTGCAGAGGCTCTAGGAGCCAGCACAAAGGTGACTAGTGGTGGAGTGATATGGCTTGCACTCCTTGTAGTAAGATGAAAGCTTAGAAGGTGGCATATAAGAGGTTCATAGATTGTTGTGATGAGAAAGAAAGGGCGTCTGTGAGAGTGGCCTTTAAGATTCCTCGTAAAGAAGCAAACTTGGAAGACAGCGTTTGAATGCCTTTATAAGGAATCGGAAGAGAAAGGTGGTGATAAGAGGCTTTTTCCGCTAGCTAAAGTGCGTGAGAAGAAGGTCCGGGATTTGGAGTATGTGCGGTGTGTGAAGGATAGTGATAGAGTGCCACATATGCAATTAGTTTTATGTTTTTAATATTAATAATAGAGCCAGTTGGGGTCAGTTGTTTAACGGGTCAAATATATTATTTTATATAT